GGTCCCCCACCTTAGTACTAACCGAGCCTTAAGGCGCTTAACTTCGGAGTTCGAATGGGATCCGGTGTGTTCACCTTAGTATGGCCGACAACAAAACATAAAGATCTTATTGATTATTATAGATAGGGTTTATAGTAAATAAATAAAAAAATAATTACATTTATTAACATATTTTTTTTTATGGAATAATATTTTTAAATACATATATTAGTTTTTTTAATTATATATAAATATAAAATAATAATATTTGGAATTATATATTAATAAGATGTAAAAAAATTAAAGATTTTTTTTTATTATATTATATAATATCCGATAATTATAATTAAATATATTTATCGTATTTAAAATAAAATTTATTATTTTTAATTTAATTTAAAAGCCATTAAAATATATAAAATTTAAAGGAAAACTAATTATATTAATAAATTAAATATTAATCAAATAAATTAATTTAATAAGTTTAATTAAATATTATATTAAGCATAAATTAAATATAATCATTTTAATTTTATAAGCAATTTATCATAAATTAATTATTTTTTTAATAAATTATAGAAATATCTTTGATGAGTAAAAAATTAATAATTATCTAAATAAATTACAAAAAAAATATATAAATGAAAAGAATATAATAATATATATTTATTATTAAATATAAATAGAAAGAAATCAATATCAATAAATATTTTTTATTTATAATTTATTTATATATATATATATTATATTTATAATATATTAATTTTTTTATTTATATACAAATATTATCAATAAAAAAAAATTAATAAATAAAAATATTTTTATATATAATATAATATAATTTATTAATTTATATAATTTTAAGCCCATATGATAATAATTATTATAAATTATTTAAAAAAAAAAATTTATTATCAAAAAAAAAATAAGTGTCAAAAAATATTTATATAATAATTATTTTAATAATATTTTTTAATAATAATTAAGTAAACTTTTATTTTATTATTTAATATTAATTATAAATACATTTTATATTAAAAAAAACTTTAAACATATTTGATTATTTCATTTTTATTTAATTAAATTAATTTTTATAAAAATAAATATGTATTATTTAACAAATATATTTTTTATAATATTATTAGTAATATTTTTTTTTAATTATATGAGAATTATATAAAAAGATTTATAATTATAGTAATATTTTTTTTTAAACATGTAAATTATTCAATAAATTATAGTCATATCTATATTTTTTATTATTTATTTTATGAATATTTGTTAAATAATTTAAAATAAAAATAAATAAAATATAATAAAAATAATTTAAATATATTTTTTTTTATTTAATTATTATAATTTCTAATAAAAATTATTATTTATACCTTTTTTATAATATTAAATATAAAATAAAAATATAAATAATTAATATTTTGTTTTTTATTTAAAAATATATTATATGAAACTAAGAAAATAGTAAAGATAAATTTAAAATACTTAAAACTTATTATAATTTAAAATATATGTTAAAATTAAATTTTACTATTTTTATCAAATATTTATTAAAATAAAAAATAATAATATATATATATAAAAATATATATATAATTTTATAAAATAATAATATGTATTATTTATAAAATATAATTTAATATAAATTTTCGAAATTATATTTTATTTTTGTTCCTTCTTTAGCTTTTATTTTTTATATTTGTATTTAAAATTAAATATCATAGGTTAAAAAATTTAAAAATAATATTGTTGGATATTTATAAATTATTAAAATATTTTATAATATATTATTTATTATATAATATTTTTTTTATTAATTATCAATAACTATTTTATACTAAATATTTCAAATTGACAAATAGCTCAAAAAAATATATTGTATATATTAATAAACATTCTAATTTAATTACTTTATATTGTAATATATGTATTAATAGTTATCTAAATGTTAACATAAATATTAATTATATTTTTTAATTATAAAAATAAAAATGATATGGTATTTTATTTAAAATAAAAAAATATAAAATATATATATATATATATATATATATATATATATGTATTTATATATAAATAAATTATTATTAATATTTTTCATTTTATTATTATAATATATATAATTTCATATTTTTTGTTAATATTTAATATTTAATTGAAAATTTTATCATAATTCCTAATTTTTTAAAATATTATACAAAATAAGTATAAATTATTCTTTAAATTTAATATCAACAATAAAATTTTAAATTTTATTACAAACATAATATCAAAACAATCTATAAATAAATAATTATATAATCTGCATTATATGTGGCTTAAATTTCGATTTTTACTTAACTATAAATATAAAAATGTATATTAAAAGCTGAAATAATATACTGATATTTCAATACTTACAAGATTTATACAAAAAAAGACAAATTTCAAATATTTCTTAATAAATCTTTATAAATAGATTAGTTTTATGACTAACAAAATATTAATGATACTCTTAAAAGATCTTTTTATCTAAATAGTAATCTTCTTAAATAGAGGGAAAAAAATGTAAAAAACTGAAATTAAAATATCCGAAGGAAATCAGTAAATAATAATAAAAAGAACTTGAAATTTTAAAAAATAATTACTAAAACAATTAGTTTATATTTGCTAATTTAATCTTCTTTTATGAAATTGTAATTTATTAAAATTTTATATATTTTATAATTACCATATTATAAGATTCGCATATAATAAACGATATTTCTATTTAAATTTAAATATATTACTTTAAATATAACTCTAATATAAAAACATCTTAGTCTAATTATGATTAAATTTAAAACTGAAAATAATAATAATAATAAGCCTATTACCCTCACAGATATGGAAATATAAAAATCTTATATCCAATAAAGCAAAACAAACAAAGGAATATAAGACTATAAAAAATAGAAATATTATATACAATAAATTAATTGGAAGTACATATTTGAATACAGAAAAATAGTTTTAAGAAGTTTTTTTTCATTATATTTAATTTAGTAATCTTTTTTTCGAAAAAAAATTCCTTTATGTTTTCAAAATAAAGACAATTTATAACTTCTATAATGAAAATTTTGCATTTAAAAATAATTATAACATTCAATAAAGGAAATTCAATAAGATACAAGTGAAAAATTAATTAATATAGAAGAAAAAAGCTCTTATAGTTAATTTAAATAAAGTTATATTAACATTAACTCTATTCCTTAAATATATAAGTATAAACGTATCAATAAATTAATTTTAAAAATAATAAAATAAAAGCAATTGAAAAGTTTATATTAATATATATATATATATATATATATATATATATATATATTTAATTTTAAAAATAAAAAGGCTATGTTTCTTAAAATTATAAAAATAGCTTATAAATGTTTAAGTTATTATTATGTTTTTTGTGTATTTTTTTATATAATTTTTTTAATTAAAAAAAAAATATATATTATTTTTATATTGCATATTTATTTATTTTTAATTTTTTTTAAAAAAATAAAAATACCTAAAATAAAATATATTATTCATTTTTTTAAAAAAAAAAATATGAGTGAAAACTATGAAGATAATTACGAAAATGAAAATTTTCAAGAAAGCGAATAATAAAGTCAAAAATAAGAAAACGATGACTAATATAAAGATGATTTTACTGAAGAATCAAATAATAATAATAAATAAAATTAAGAAATATCACAAAAAGGCGAAGAAATAGAAGAATAAACTGAAAAAAAGAAAAATTATTTATTATATTTACGAAATTTACAAGAAAAAAACGAAAATATTAATTTAAACTACATTTTATATTATTAAATAAGCGATTAGAAATTCATAGAAACAACTTTAAAAAGTGTAATAGAAATTCCGATTTAGAAAAATGAATAAGATTAAGAAATTACATTTAAATTGACTGCTATATAGGAAAATAATGAATTAAAAATAATAAAAAAGATGAATTTATAAGATTTAAAATTAACTCAAATAAATAAATATTCCACTTTTTTTTTAAATTTAAATTAGGAATTTTCTTTAGTTTTTGATGCTAGTATTTTAAATGAATAAAAATTAAATAAAAAAAATACCGAAAATATATCCTTATATAGTATAAATATTGAAAAAGTAGAAAAATATGAAGTATTTTTAAAACAAAGAACTCAAATTTTACACTAAGAAAATATCTTTTAAATCACGAATCGGACTTTGAGACATAAATTGAAAATTTCTTTAAAAAATTAAATCCAGTGTATTTTTTTAGATGATAATGTAAAAATATATATTATTTTTTAAAATTTTTTTAGAAAATAGATGACATTTATATTTTCTATCATCCAGAAATACAAGAAGACTTAACATTTCAGTTAGTTGAAATGTCTTTAGAAGAGATATCGTAAAAAACACAAAAACAACCCAAAACTAGAAGTGAAAAACCAATTGGATAAGCACTAAAAACTTCATTAAAATCTATCCAAAACACTTAAATATGTCTTTAATTGGACACTTAAACCTCTATATAAATAAAAATAAACATAAAAGATTCCAATACATGTTTTCATAGGAATTTTTTAGGATTCGCATGTTTAAAAATACTCGAAACGCGTACTTTTTAGGCAGAAAATATAATTTCTTCTATAAAAATAAGCTTAAATTCTATGGAAAATTCTATGTAGAAATAAATATGGAATTTAAAGCCTTTTAAGACTTTTTTACAAGAAAATAATTGTATTTAAACATGGGATTTTCAACATAATTTAATTTATGAAAAAAACCTATAAAAAACAAAGGAAAATACAGATATTTAATTAAATTTTTTGACAAAAATAAATTTTGAATTAGATAAAGTCGAAAAAATAAACGAAGAAAAAATGGAAGAAGATTTTTAAATTTTATTAGAAAATTATTCTTTTTTGGATAAATACGAAGATATTTTATATCAAAATAATGGCTTTATACATAGTAATTTATAAAACCATATTTTTTTTGAAACTTATGGGCCTTTCGATTATTTTTCAGTACAATTTTTGGATAAAAATAACCATGTTTTGGCACTTTATGAGGAAGATTTTTTCTAAATTCCTTAAAAATAGCTTAATTTAGCCTTTATATGTCAAGATAAAGATAATATAGTCTAAAATAAGTATCTTTAAGTAAATTAAGAGGAACTTTTAGACGACTAAGAGTAATAAAATATAATTGGTAGTTTCAAATTTCAGGTTTAATTTGAGTCTTTTAATTAATATTTGATGCCTGAAGAAAAAGAAAGATAGTGGGTTGATAAATTAGTAGATTATAAAAAAGATGATGACAATTTGATGTATTTTTTAAAGGAAAATATAAGTAATTATGTAAAAAATTAATAAAAAATTCAACCATTAGTAATATCTTTAGTGGATATTTGGAATATATAAGATTTAGTATAATAAATATCTAAAAACGATAAAAAATGTGAGTTTTTTATAAAAATTAAAATCGGAAATATATGCGAGAAAATAAAATTCTCATAAAAAATAAAAAAAAGTGAAGAAATAGAAGAAATAGATGATATACTACTCGAATTAGAAAAAAAAGGAAGTTTTTTGAAAAAAATAGAAGATAAATTAAAAATATACACTATGTTAGACCAAAAAAGTTAAAAAGTATCAGAAATTACCACGGATACTGATTTATGTTAAAAAATGGTCTTTTAAATTAAAAGTTTTCTCGAATTTATTTAAATTGAGGTTTTAATAGAAAATGAAATTATAGGAGGTTTTTGCAGATAAATTTAGGAGTGCTTTTTTTACGATAAGGAAGGATTCTTGTATTTTTTAGTTAGTTTTTTTAATAATAGTGGGGGTTAGAATTTAAATTTTACTGGATTTTTTTTAAAATTTTAGTATAGTTTTTTAAGTTTTGAGCAGGAAAATTCATATAATTAAAGCCTTTTTTAACCTGGAATTTATATACCTAAATAGATGCTGTTTTAAGACAAATAATTAGTAAAAAAAATGCAGAATTTTATATATAAAATGACTATCTAAGAAGTCGAATCTAAAAAAAGTTGCGAAGAAGTCTTTTCTTTTAATAATTTTTTTTAGAAAATAAATATGAAATTTTTCCAAGAGCTTTCTTTTCTAAGGAATAATTAAAAGAAAGACATTATGTTCTTAGTTTAAATAAAAAAAATATATTCAGAAAATAATTAAAATAACGAAGAAAATATTGAAGAAAATGAAGAAAAAAAATATGCTTTTAAAAATAATTTTATCTAAATGGAGATTTCCCTTCTTAAAATATTCTCAATCCAAAAATAAGTATAAAAACATCGAATATAGCCCATAATTCTTTTCAGGTTTTTTCTTGTTTTTTCAAAGATAAAGAATTACCTTAAAATATTAAACTTTTAGTTTTTTTCTAAGTCAATTTACACGCTAATACCTTTATAGAATAACCGCTTTAAAAAATAAAAATTTCTATACCGAAATAACTCCAAAAAAAAATCATTTCTAATGAAATTCTAGATAAAAATTGCCTAATTAAAATTAATTTGAATTCTCTTTAAAAAAAAGCACTTGAATAATCAAAAAATAAACAGAAATTCCTTTTTGATTTAAAAAATGATACTGCTAATGAATATTAAACATTCTCCTATAAAGATAATCTTTAAATTTAAATTTATTCTTCTTAATAATTGCTTGATACTTCTCAATCTCCATTATATGATTTAGTTTTTTTAAATGAAGAATTTATATAGGAAGAAAAACTAGAAAATATATAAGATGAGGAAAACTCTCTAATTTCTTAATAATAATAGATTCATAAAAATGACTGTCAAATAAAAAAAATGTACACTTTTATTAATTTTGCGGGAAAAAAGTTCGAATTTCTAATTTAATTTTTAGAAATAATTCAAAAAAAGCCTGTAGAAGTTTCTTTCGAAAAAAATAAAACCTCTTAACAGAAAACAGATAATCAAAAAAATGATACTAAAATATCAAATAAATATGATAAAAATATGCCCGAAATTTACATAATTAAAAACAAAATTAAAAATATTTAAAATGAAAATATGAAATTAACGACTTTTTTAAATAAAGAATAAAAAGAAATTGTCAACCTATAATATTCTATATAAGAATTGAAAAATATAAATATGAGATCCAATTAAAAAACTATGTAAAATTCTAAAAAAAGAACAACAGCACCTATTATTTTAAGTGCAGAAGCTTAAAAAGCTAAAGAACTTATTACTTCTATATGTTAATGTGGTGAGCCTAAGCCTAAATACAAGTAATTGTATTTAATATAATTGTTATTTTTTATTTTAAAGAGGTTTCTGTTTAAATTGTATAGAAAATATGAAAAAAGAGTATAAACAAAAATATGAAAATTATTTGGTTTTTGCTGATAAATATGAATAAGAATCAATAAAAAATTTCTATTTAGATACTAAGATTATAAAAATTAAAAATAAAATAAAATAATTACAATAAAAAACAAATGGATTTGAAAACGAAATGGCAAATGAAGAATAAGATGAAGAAAAAACTCTACTTGAAGCAATCAATTATATGAAATAATAAATGAAAATAGTTTAAGCTGAAGTTATTTATTAATAATATAAATTTTTATTATAATATATATAAAAAAAGATGAAAATGAATCTTAATGAATATAATAAAATTATAAATGAAAAATATTAATTATAAGAAAGTTTAGAGTTTAAAGTTTAAAAGAAATCAAATAAGAATTAATATCTAAGTGAAAAAATAAACCAGTATTTTTTTATTTCAATTTAAAGATATATTTAAAAAAAAAAAGATAAAAAATAAAAACATAAACATTAAAAAGTCAAGTTGATAACTTTAGTTAATTTTTGGATAAATTAAAATAGGAATTATGAAAATTAAAATAAAATATAATAATTTTAGTAAGTTATATATAAATAATTATATATTAAAGCTCAATTTAAAAAATTAGTATTTAATTTAATTTATTTTTAAATAAGAAAATTACTTAAAATAACATTAGAAATATTATAAATAAAAAAATTTAAGAAATATATATGTAATTTATATATTATAATAAAAAAAAAAAATCTAAAAATATTTAAATATTTATATTATATATAAATATATATATAAATAAAATATATATATATATATATATATATATATATTTTCTGTATATATTCTATAGATCTTTTCTTTTTATTTTTTTATAAATATTTATTTCAAAATTTAAATATAAAATTAAAAAAAATGTATTATTAATAATAAGATATTTAATAACCCCATTATAAGTTATACTCTGAATAAGGTATTAAAAGGGAATCAAAGCTTTACTATGATTAATAATAAAATATACCCTTATATCTATAAACTTAAAAGATATCATATTTAAAACAAATTCCAAAATAAATGGTAAAATAAATTTCATTAGAAAGTAAAATGCTATTATTTATATTAACCATAATATAAAGCTTAAAAGGTCCTTCATATATTTTAACAAGATAAATATAATAAAAATAAGACGAAATATAACCTTTAAAATATCTTTTTTACTAACAAATTTTAATAGTAATAATATATTTACCAATAGTGTATAACGAATATACATTTGAGAAGAAAAATGAGATTTAAATAAATCGTTTGTATTAAAAAAATATAATTTTTACACATTAGAATCTAAAATTCATATTCTTTTAAGGCATTTTTTATTCCATTTTTGCATGTTCTTTATCTTATTCAGTTTTTTAAATACAAATAATAGATGTTTATATATTATGTTCTATGTATATTTTTTTAATGGAAATAATTTAGAGAAAAAAGACTTTTTAAAATTTTAATAAATTGGAGTTTCTTGGATTTTTGCTAATTTTTTTAGTCATATTTTTCATTTTTTCTGTAAACAAAAATTCTTTTGAAATTTGCTTTTTTTGCATTATTGGAAGCCTTTCAATATGTTTTTTTGGAAAAATCTAAAATAAAATCCAGAATAAAATTCCTATATAATTCTCATTTTTTTCCTATTAACTAATTAGCACTTTCTTGATTTTTTTTTACATTATTATATATGAAAAAATCACTTTTTTAGACATATTAAATATACTCGACCCTAAAATTTTTCTACTCAATTTTTCTATAGCATTTTTGACTAGTTTTGTTAATAATAAATTAATTATTTCCTTATAAAATAATGTACCTTAGATATTTTTTGATGCTTTTTTGGGAATTTTTAGACTTTTTTTTGTAAGTTTTTTTTCTTTTATATTTTTAGATGATTTTTAAATGCCTACACTTGTCTAGATTTGTATTTATTTATTATATTTTTTAGGATTATTAGTCTTTTCAATTGGAAAGTAAGAATCTTTTACTGAAGATATGATAATGTTAGATGAAAATAATGTATAAAATATAAGTTTTGATTAAAACGAAGCGTTTTTGTAATAAAATAAAATTCGAACATAAAATTTAATTTCAATTTGAGAAAAAAATAGGAATAAAATAAATAAATATTTATTAATTTTAATATTATAAAATAAAAAACATAATATAAATAAAATAATATAAAAAAATATATTAAACTATAATTATTATATTCAAAAATATATATAATTATATATTTATTAAAAAACTATATATATAAAATAAATTATTATATTTTTAATAAACTTTTAATTTATCAATATATTTAAATTTCGATTATTATACTCTATTTATAATTATTAATTAATTTTTGGCATCATTTTAAAATAATAAATAAGTAAATTTTTGATACATAAATCAAATTTTCAAACTTATAAATTATATCAATATTCTATTTAATTTATATTTAATTCTATATACATACAAAGTATCCGAATTTAGCCTAAAATTAAGATAAACTTACATTCATTACATATATCTACCCCATCATGCCTCAATGTCACTTTTGACTTTGTTAAATTTATCGATTTTCGAACCATGAGACTGTTTTTATTTACTACATGAGACAAATAGGATTCCCAAGACCGGTTTTAGTTATAAGAATTTAAGTTTGTAATTTTCCTTAAGTAAAATTAAACTTCTAGGAAGTATCATGTCAACATAATTTATAATTATATGAACTTTTTGGGTTTATGGGAAAATATATATAGGATTTTAACTATTTATGCAATATTAAATTTAAATATTTTGTATATAAACATCATTTTTTATATATATTTATTATTCTGTTTATCCGTGAGTAAAATTATGTACAATATTCCTTTTATTTTTATCTATTTTTTAAAAGTCGAAATTTTCTTCAAATATTAATTTATAAACAGAATCTTATTTTTTTATTTATGCTTTTATTTTTTTTAAATAAAGATTTCATGTATATGAGAATATTAAATGAATCAATGAGTAAATTATAAATGATTTTATTAGAAGTTTAATTATTTTTTATTTATATTTTCTCTGTGTTAAGAAACTAAATATCTTATAATGATAAATTTTAAAGATTTATGATTTTAATATTTATTATAAATTTTACTTTTAAATAAAGTCACTTTAATACATATTTCCAATTGTTAAATTATAATTTTATTTTTTTATTAATTTTAATATTTTTATATTATATATGTAATACCATTTTGATTGACCTTTTCATTAAAAAAATCAACTTAATATCATATATCATGAAATTTAAATTTACTTAAATAAATAAAATTAAGTAAATAATATGTCTAAAAATAGAAGTTAAATATATAGAAAATATAATAAAATGTGCCAAACGATTTTATATATAAATAATTTTAATAAAAAATAAATTTGCTGCGACATAAGCATAAAAACACATTATCCAACATTTCAGAATATTTTTTAAATAAAAAAAAATGACTTAGATGTTAATAAAAAAATCCCAAAATTAATTATTTAGACCCTGAAAATAAATTTCATCCATATTAAATTTGTTAAATTTCTTAAATTTAATTTAAATATAAAAGATATTCTTTATAAGGAAAAACAAATCTAACGTATATAATGAGAAAAAGATTTTTAGTTTATTCCTATAAATTGTATATATAAAAATATTTATAGAAGAAATTTATAACTAATAAATATAAATCCTTTAAAACCAGTCTATAGTTAAAAAAATTATTGAGAAAATTTATATAAATATTTTGAAATTATATCATAAATAAGACATAAAAATATAGAAAAAAATAATTGTTTTTGTTTAAACACAATTAAAATTTAATGCGCTATCGCTAATTATTAAGTAAAATATAATATAATTATTATATAAATTTAAATATATAAAATTTAGAAATAAATAATTCGAATTATATAAAAGATATGAAATGTGATTAAATTAATGCTTTTAAAAAAAGAGACAAAATTAAAAGTATAAACTAATCAACTTTAACATAATTGGTGTGTTTATAAAATAAATAAAATTTTCATATTAAGATATATATATATATATATATATATATATATATATATATATATATATATATATATATATATATATATATATATATCAATTATTATTTATTTAAAAAAATAAAAATTATAGAAATTAAGATAAAATCGCTTAATTTTTATATATATTATATATTAATTAATAGCATATAATTATTATTAATATTCGTATTATTTTTATATATTTTATTTACAAAATAAAAATTTTATTCATAAAAATTTAAAAATGCTATATGATAAAAATAATAAATGTTAATAATTATTATAAATTATAAACTTTTATACTTATAATAAGAAAAACAAAAAAAATTATAAATAAATATTATTAAAAAATAATTCTTATATATTTTCAAAATTAATTTATTTTTCAAATATAACAAAAACAAACAATATATAAAAGCATGAAACCTTAAAAGCCATTAAATTTCATCAGCCGTCAATAAACTGCACTCAACCGTTCTTTAAAAAAAGTCGAACCGTCCTTAAAAGATGTAATAAATTATTTAAAAGAAAATCCCCGTCTTTTAAGAAATGAAAAAAATCCTTATACAGCCGAAAGGCAAAAAAAAAAAAAATATTAAATAATTTTAAAATAAATAAAAGGCTCATGATGTTATTAGATAATGAAAAATTAGCCGCTTTAGAAGATGAATTTAATGAACATCCGAACGGAATTGAATTAGTGAATTTTATTTGGTTAATGAAATGTGCTATAGTACATCCTGTAGAAGAAAAGTACGAATTAGTAACTGGATTAATAAAATTATTTTAAGATATAGATATTAATGGGGATAAACATATGGAATGGAGCGAATTTACGACTTATATAATAGATGCAGTCATAGGAGCAGGGGGAGATAAAGAAAAATTTAACAGTTTTTTATAAAAAATAAAATATAAGAATAATAAAATATATTTTAATATATAAATAAAGATTAATTTGATAAAGGAAAAGATATTACCGAATAAGAAATAGTTGATAAGGCATATTCAAGGTCTTTAAAAAAATATGTGTAGCATAAATTCATAGATAATTCTACACATGCCAGTTTAATTAAAAAAATAGTCTATTCTCCACATAATGACTGCATTTTTTGTTTAGAATAGAATTCAAATAAAATAAAATTCTATTTGTCAGATTGTAGAGAATTAATTACTAATTCAAATAAAATTTGTTTATAAGTACCTAATGATACTAATAATGCTTAATTTATTATTGACTTTCATATTGCAGAATCTATAAACATAGTAAAAATAAATACATATAACATATTTAAAAATATATATATATAAAGATAGGTGCTATTACATCTAAAAAATAAATAGTTTTTTGGGAAAATAATTTTAGTTAAAAAATAGCTAAAAATATAAAATTAGATAATTTATAAACAGGAATATGGTATATGCCTTTACATAAATTATGGATAACAGCAGGAAACGATAATACTTTAAAAACATGGAGTTTTTAATAATAAACATAAGTATTATAAATAAAAAAATATCTAAAAAATAAATATAATATATATATAGTAAGGCGAAAATAGAAGAATAATAATAAATCCCGATAAAATAATAAATGCCCATAAACAAGTGATTACAAGTGTCTAAGAATTAGTTTCTCCAAAACTAATAGCCTCCTCTTCTTTAGATGGAACTATAAAATTATGGGATTTAATATAAGATGAGCCTTCCCTCTTAGTAGAATTAAAAGACCCTTCCAAAACTGAAAGAGGAATCAGACAATTAGCTTATTCATATCAAAATGGTTCTTATTTACTTTCTATAGGATTCGAATCATATATAAATGTTTGGTATTTTTTAAATAAAATAATAAATATACATAATATATATATATATTTATATATTGAATAGGTGCCCTGAATCTTCCATTACAAGGGTTTTTGTTGGAAAATTAGAAGGACATTCTAGCCTAGTGGCTACTTGTTAATTTATTCCTTAAAGCCCTAATGTAGTTTCTGTAGATGATAATTGTAATATAAGAATATGGGATATACGTATTATGTAGACTATTTAAATAATAGTTACTGAAGCGTATATATATATATAAATATATTATTTGAAATAAATCTATATTTAGTTCTTTTGGATAAATATATGATTTATGTTTTGTTTTTGGAAAATATGATAGAATTATTTTTGCAGGAAAAAGATTAATGTATTTTGAAAATTCTGAAGTACAAAAAAATGTAAAAAATATAAATGAAGAAATATATGCTTTAAATGTTGATTTTAATTTATATTTTAATTAAATTGTTATCTTAACCAAGTAAAAGGAAATGATATATATAAATATATATTTTTTAAAAAAGAATAGATATACGATTATACGATGCCATGACCGGAAAATTAAATAAAGTTTTTAACGAATTTAATGATTAAAATTCAATCGAGCTTTCCGTTTTTTGTTTTGGAGCTCGCTAAAGGAAATTTTACCTTTCGGACAATAGTGGAAATGTGAGACAATATAATATGAAAAACGGAGAGTTTTTGAAAAATGTGAATGACGAAAAAGAAATAGAAGACTCTGAGTTTTCAAAAAAATAAATACAAGTTAGTAATAAAAAGGATGTAAATGAAATCTCTTAAATGATATATATACACGAAGAAAAATTACTAATATGTTCATATTCAGATTCTACTATAAGAATATACGACGAAAGTGAATCAGAAGAAAGTATACTAATTAAAGTACTAACTGGAGGACATATGAATGCTGAAATAGTCTCATTAGTATATTCTTCTAAATAATCTTTTATAGCTAGTGGATCGATAAATGGTATAATATATATTACCTTTTAGAATTTTTTTAATTTTTCTGTATTTTTAAAAAATAAAAAATAAAAAAAAAACTTATACATTATATTTCTAAATAATAAATTTAAAAATATCAATAAATATATAAATATATATATATATATATATATATATATATATATATAATTATTTATTTATAAGGTATTATTGCATTATGGGAATTTGAAACTGGAAAATTAGAAAGTATATTAAAAGCCGATGATATAGAAATAACATGCTTGGAATTTTTAGATCCATATCCAGCTATAGCAGCTGCTTCTTTAAATGGTGCTGTATATATATGGGGGACTAAAAATTGTAATTTTAAATATAAATACTAGATTATTATAAAGATAATGAATTCTATGTGGATAGACGGAATAGAATAATATTTTTCTGTCAATAGTATCATTTGCGAATCAGAATTAAATTATGGCTTAAAAAGATGTGTTCCAGTAGACGATTTTATACCTGAAGATGTTGAAAACTTTAAGCCTATAATTCAAAAGAGCAGTCTTAATTTTAAATAATTTTAAAAATAAAAAAAAAATAATAATTGGCCAATTACATAATAAGAAGAAACAAATAGTGAAAAAAAAATAATCATCAGTGAAGAAAGTACATAAAGCGAAACTGACAATTTAGAAAAAAACGAGACTTTTTAAAAATACTGGTTTTAATATGATTAAAATAAGCAAAATAACAAATAATAAAATCAATATTGTTACATATATTTAGGAGATACAAAAGGTTTTATATAAATATGGAATTTATCCGATATTTTTTACACTCGTAATATAATTCCTATAAAAGAAGAAAAGAAAAAACAGAGTTTTTAACTCCGCAGAAAAGACTTAATAAACGCCTCAAAAACAGCAGAAAATTTAATCAATAGTTAAGAGAATAAAAATAATAAATATTAACTAACTGTGCATGCTTTAAATAGTGTTTTACTACATAGATGGGTAGGCCATTAAGGATTGATTAATAAAATATGTAAAATAGAAGAACCGAAGTCTATTATATCATGTTCTTTTGATAAACATGTCAATATATGGAGCTTAGAAGGCGAATTGTACTCTAAAATAAACTTAGGAGTGTATGATAAGTAAACTAAATGGTATTTTCCTTTCGATTGGATCGAATAGAAAATATAAGATTTAGATTAGGTATTTAGTTTTTTAAAAATAATTGAAAATAATGGATTAAGTGATGAAGAAATCGAAAAAGCCCGAAAAATTTATTTAATATAAAAATATTTTACTGAAAATGACATAAATGATTTAAAAAATAAACTAATAAAAAAAATATCTATATTAGAAATAATGTAATAATAATTTAACGAAAAAAAGGAAAAAAATGATAAAAACTTAAAAAGTTTTTAAAATATTTCATTTAGAGATTAGTTAAATTAACTATTAATAAAATTCAAATAAGACGAAGAAGATGAAAAAAACACAAAAAAATAAAGATTATTATAAGATTAATAAAATAAATAATAAGAATTAGATTAAGTTAAAAAATTCTATAATATAGAATAAAAAAAAGAACTTTTATAATAAAATAATTTAAAATAAAAATTAGAAAAAATTTTTAATACTTAAGATAATTTTTTTTATAATAATAATAAAGAAATTGAAAAAACTAGTTTAATATATGATTAAAAATAACTGAAAAATTATTCATGTAATTTATAAATATAAATATAAATATAAATATAAATATAAATATAAATATAAATATAAATATAATATATATATGTATATATTTATATATATTTTATAATCTATACTTTATTTAAAATATATATCTATATTATCTTATATTATATTTATTATATTTATTTAATTATTTATTATTTTTTATTTTTTTATTTATAATTTCATTTTTTATAATATAAAATTCATATTAAATATATAATTAATATTTTAATCTTATATTAATTATTATATTATAATATTTATTTTTATTATAAATATTTTTAATTTATAGATAATAATTCAAAAACTAATATTTTAAATTAAAATAGTCGAAAAAATAAAAGAGAATTATCAAATAATTTTTTGACTACAACTTCAACTAAATTTTGTGGTGAATAAAAATAAAATAAACAAATTATTTTGTCTAATAGTAGTTCATATAATGTTAATAAATTATGTTCATTATCAAGTAGTAAATATGTTAAAAATTTTTAATTTGTGTAAATGTTAACTAAATAAAAATTACCTGAATTAAATAATATATAGTATGTATAATATAAAATATATATAAAAATATAAATAAATATTAAATATATAAATATATATATTTATATATATATATATATTTATTTTTTATCTACATTTATTTTTTTAATTAATAAATTTAGAAAAAACATTAGTAATTAAATATTTAATATAAAGAAGGCGAAAATAATAGATGTTTTAGAGTTGCTTAACAAAATTATTTGTTTTAAGCCTAATCTAATTCGTAAAAAATACTTTTTGCAGATAATGATTTACTTTTATAGAATATTAATGATTTAAAATTATTGTTTTAAAAAAAAATAGGGATGAAACTGATAATGATTTAGAAGAAGAAAAAGATGAAAAAGATTAAAAAAATATAAAAGATGAATAAAATGAATAAGATATAACTAAAAACGAAAAAAATTATAGAAATACTGAAAAAAAAATCACTTTTTATCTTCTAACTATAATAAAAAGAAAAAAAATATATATTATAGTAAAATAATTAAATTTAATAAATGAAATAATTATAAATATTTTTCTTTAAGAAAATAAAATTAATCTTAATTATTTATAAAAAAAAAATTAATTTTTATAATAAATTAAAATATTTTTATTTATGTAAATTATATTAAGTAATTTTTAATATAATATATTATTTAAATAGGTTTAAATTTCATAATTATTGAAAAATTAAAAATGAAGGATTTATTTTAAAATAAAAAATAATATATAAATAAATAAATATTTAATAAAATTATATATATTCTAAAAAGAAAATATATTTTATATCTTATCTATTATTAAAAATAAAAATTAATGTGACCTGCAATTAAAAAAAAATATTTAAATATAAGGAATTAAAAATTATACTAATTATATATTTATAAATATTAAAATATATAATTTTAAATATATTTATTACAAATATAATAATTAAATTAAATATAATAAAAATTGTAGAAATATAATAAATAT